AGACAGCAATAATATGCTTGACTGCTGCTTTTGGAGAGGTATCAACAAAATTCCACCCACGTCGTTCGCATAAATCCAAATAAGCTGTCTGCAGCAAAATTACCCGAAGCCGTGCATCTGTTCAGCAGCATCCATTTTTATATTGCGCTTCACATCATGCATTATCTCATCGTAGGAAAGGGATCTAACACTGGAAGATAGTTCAAGCAGCTTCGTCTTGATAATAGCATCTATAAGTTGACTTATTTCCTGAATCTCCTTGCGGAATACTCGTGCTCGTACAAGGGAGCGGAGAAAAATTGCATTAAAGCAGCTTGTATAAAGAATAGAATTAATACCAGGTTGCGATTAATACCAGGTTGCGCTGCCACAGCAGCCTCATATGATGCACGTTCAGCAAGAAAATCTTGGATAGCCTTGCGAGAGATAGCATAAAGACGAGGAGCTTGAACAGAAGCAAAAAGATTGACAGAATTAGCAGTGCCAAGATCCTGATAGTCTCCCATATCAGAAATCGACTGTCTGCGCAGAAAACAGTTTAAACTGTTAGGTCAGTCGAGATTGAGGTGGTAGAAGATAGACCGTGAGCTTCAAGGTAAAGCGTTTTGCTCAGCAAGAAAAGTTGAAGGTCGGTGGCTCGCCTGCCGATTCCGTGCCTTCAGTTTATTGTAGAAGGATGGGTATTTATACTAAATTTCCAAAGGTGTAGTCAGGGTCAGTTCGGTCGTGAAATATTCCTCTCCATTTTCAAATCAATGGTCAATTAATACCCGATTGCATTTAGCATTATTTTCATTAGTATGGTCCACGAAATGCATTAAGGATGTCCATCAGGTTCTCCATGCACAACACCTATCGACCGTGTCCTATTCCGCACACCCTCATACATATCCATGACGGGACCGGGACATTTCACAACATACCTATAAAAACGGCGCAAGATTGCCACAAATACGCGAAATTCCATATCAACTATCGGTACAGTACCTCCACGAATATGGATTACCAGTTAGGAAAAGTGGATTAGGGAGCATACGCCTGCGCTTCGCATTGGCGTCTACCGAAAAAAGCCGCAGGACAATACCGTGCAGCACAAATGGAGCCCTATTCCCCCGCTTCCCCCGCCCCCCTCCTCTCACATGTATCCGCCATATTTAAAATTCGCTATTAAATAGCACGTCCTGCGCCTTGCACCGTACTCTGCTCTGCATTCACCTCTGCCCTGCGCCCCGTCGCCTCTCCGCCCGCCCTCCGCCCCTCCCCC